ATGAGGAGAAAGCGCTAATTCACCATGGCTATATAGCAGTGGGATGGGATATGAGGACTAGGAGCTGGGATAGGAGTGTCTGGGATCGAGCATCGACCTGCAGGAAACGAGGTCGTTTCTGTACCGACTACTCCAATGGAATGATAAATTATATTTTATAAATCCCAGAGGAATTCCCATCAAATTTGTCGAAGCGTCCCAATGGCTTTAGAATGTGTTTGTGCTTCGTGTTGAGTGACGCCGGCCACAATATCACAAATATATTGATCATAGTTTTTTTTTGGCAGGTGTTGCAACGTTGAGGTCATTGACGCCAGCAAATGAAAGTAGAGCTTCTGGCGGCATATGTGTCAGCCCTTTATTTACACTGCTTACATTATCAAGTCATCACCATAAAAGTAATTTCATTGTGCATAAGGTGGGTGGGGTGGGATGGGGTGTAGGGGGGAGGTTGTGGTTGTGGGTGGGGGGGTGGGGTGTAGGGGGGAGGTTGTGGTAGTGGGTGGGTGGGGTGGGGTGGAGGGGGGAGGTTGTGGTAGTGGGTGGGTGGGGTGGGGTGGAGGGGGGAGGTTGTGGTAGTGGGTGGGGTGGGGTGTAGGGGGAGGTTGTGGTAGTGGGTGGGGGGGTGGGGTGGAGAGGGGGGGAGGTTGTGGTAGTGGGTGGGGTGGGGTGTAGGGGGAGGTTGTGGTAGTGGGTGGGGGGGTGGGATGGAGGGGTGGAGGTTGTGGTAGTGGGTGGTGGGGTGGGGTGTAGGGGAGGTTGTGGTTGTGGGTGGGTTATTGGGTGTGTGTGTGTATAGTGTGTATATTTGCTATTTGTGCCTGCAGGAGGGAGCTGTCAGCTCTTGGGGTTAGAAACGCCTTTCTAACCGTCGTAGTCTAATATACCGATTCACGATCTTTATTCTATCATGTTTACTACATATATTTCTCTCTAACAAACACACACACCTATAGAAACTTGTGTTAGGAATCCTTGAGAACCTTGTATACCATATATGTCAGACCAATCCTGGAGTATGCAGCTCCAGCATGGAATCTATATCTCGTAAAGCACAAGACTTAATTGGAGAAGGTTCAGAGGTATGCTACCAGACTAGTACTCGAGCTGAGGGGTATGAGCTACGAGGAGAGACTACGGGAACTAAACCTCACGTCCCTGGAAGACAGAAGAGTTAGGGTAGACATGATCACCACATACAAGATTCTCAGAGGAATTGATAGGGCATATAAAGACCAGTCTGTCGTGACCCCTTGGTGTTTGTCTGACACGGCCCCTGATATCTGTCTGGCACGGCCACTGTTATTGTCTGGCACGGCCCCTGTTATTGTCTGGCACGGCCCCTGTTATTGTCTGGCACGGCCGCTGTTATTGTCTGGCACGGCCCCTGTTATTGTCTGGCACGGCCCCTGTTATTGTCTGGCACGGTCCCTGTTATTGTCTGGCACGGCCACTGTTATTGTCTGGCACGGTCCCTGTTATTGTCTGGCACGGTCCCTGTTATTGTCTGGCACGGCCCCTGTTATTTGGCTACCGTGACCCGTGTAGCAAGGTCGCCAAGCATGCTTGCCCAAACGGCTTCGTTTAATTGATGCATCAGGCCAGTGTAATATGCCTTTAAAAAAACCCGGGAAGGTGGTCATTACCCCCCCCCCCTCCTGAGGCTTCGTCACAACCCCTAACGCAGTAACGCTGAACAAATTGATGCAATTAATTAAAAATAAAATTCAATTTGAAAGCAAAACAATGCCAGGTTTGCTATATTGTTTAAAATAACTGCGTCAGAGGTTTCATTGTTTACTATCAACATGCTACAATGATTGGTGTACATTGTTAGGGAAAATCACTGTGAAACTACCGAATACCAGCGGCGTGTGTGCAGTTAATTTTCAGTAACGCTCAAGGATTGAATTGTAAAATTTTCCAATCACCGTGATGCCAGGTAACTGGCCTGTGCTACACTTGGTGTTGATATGTGCAGAATGGTGTTGATGGTGTGAAATTGAATTGAAATTGAAATAAGTTTATTGAGGTAAAATACACACAAAGGGATGAGGTAGCTCAAGCTATTCTCACCCCGTTCAGTACATCGTGTTAATACATACATAGACACACATCACAAACAATAAACACATTACCAAACATTCTGAGAGATAAACATATACATTTCCTCCTTCACAAGTAGTATGGTATCAGACGTACACACAAATACTTTTATGACCGAGGTATACTGTATAGACAATTTGCAAGAGACATGCAGATAATTCAACAAAAAATTAGTCTTGGTGCAAAATTCTTATATCTCTCAAGAATACCATCAACCTTTCCGTTGTGACACATCCAGGCTATTTGTTCAGGAACATGGTGTGTGTAGTGAGATACACACGAGGTTAATGGTGGGGGGCATGAGTGATCGTGGGTCTGTACCTGCCTGCTAGCCTCCCTCTGTGGGGGTCCTGTGATCATATAGACTGTGGGTCCGCACAGCTTGCTGCCTGACAAGGGCATGGGTGATCGTGGGTCTGTACCTGCCTGCTAGCCTTCCTCTGTGGGGGTCCTGTGATCACATAGACTGTGGGTCCGCACAGCTTGCTGCCTGACATCAACCCGTTCTCCTACAAATGACGTCGCTTTTCGCTCGTACGTGCACTCAGGCTAAAAATCGACGTAATTCAAAATGAAATCGGCTCTCGAAAGTGACGTACTGTTCCGTTTTCTGTTTTGGGTCCTCTGGCTTAGGCTGTTAGGTTAGGAGAGGAAACTTTCAATTAACGGTTTTGACGACGCATTGAAACCTTAGGAGAACTTCCTGCCCTCCTAACCTACCAGAGGACCCTTAATTTGCTGTTTTGGAAACAAAAATCCAAAATTTATTTTCAATTATTTTTATTTTCAAGTTACGTTCTTTTACGTAATTTGTAAGAGGACAGGTTCCTGACGGCATCACAGCCTGATAAATTAGTTTTTTTTTTGTCTCCTTAAATCCCCTTGCTACTACGGGGTGATAAGGGTATTGCTCTAGCTCTAGAGCCCAGCGGCCCAGCCACAGGGCATGGGTCGCTTGGGCCCTTCAACAGTAACCCTAAAAACATAATACATCTAAAAACTACTAAAATATATATACGTGGCCTACGATGGTAAACACAAAATACACAAGAAGCATGGAGACATAACAAATACTTAGATAAAATATAACATACAATAGCATAAAAATAAAATTGCAAGCATGCCAAATACAGAATGAATTACGTCTCACAGGGAGACGATCAACGTTGAGCGTGCATGAGTGCATGACACTCACCCTGGGATCGAACCCAGGACCACAGGATCACAAGGCCAGCTTGCTGTCCGCTCGGCCGACCGGCTCCCAGATACCAGCTGGCTACATAACAGCCAATGTAGACGTACAAGTGTAGTCCCACACATTCTGTTTACCAACCATTTACTTTCGCTGCAAAATAACTATGTATATTATGCATAAATTACCGATTCTTTATATGGTTTATATACCATATAAACACGGTACCTATAATCGTGCAAAAATTATAGGTTGCGTTTAACTCCTCATGTGAAGAAGGGAATCGGAATGCCAGTTCTCACTAATATTTTTATTTCATGAAGTGTTAATATATTATGGGTTTATGGGGACGACGGGTTTATACATGAGGGAGAAGGGACTCACTGATACAATTATGTATACCTTCCAACAACTAGTTTATTACACTTAAAATATGTATATATGGTTGGAGGAAGTTGTCTTTAGTTTATGAAGTATTAGACGCAAATCTACGTACATGGGCAAGACAGTATCCGTCTTAACCTGAGACAATTTGATTAACATAGTTATTGCTTAAAGTTTCATTGTAACTTTTCTTACTCAAAACAAGCCTAGCATATTATTTAAATCTTAATTATAAAATGGTATCAAGTTGTGTATGATAGTTAAACTGATTAGTTATTTGATTAGTAACAGTAAGCAACAGACAAAATATCAATATTATGTAACTGTATCATCCGCACACAGTATACATGGCTAGACCACACCTGCAGTATACATGGCTAGATCACACCCGCAGTATACATGGCTAGACCACACCTGCAGTATACATGGCTAGACCACACCTGCAGTATACATGGCTAGACCACACCTGCAGTATACATGGCTAGACCACACCCGCAGTATACATGTCTAGACCACACCCGCAGTATACATGTCTAGACCACACCCGCAGTATACTCTCTTCCCTATCAAGTCGTATGCTAATTTTCACGCAACACACACATGACTGACACAACATGACAGATCAACATGACAGATCAACACACACGACAGATCAACACACACGACAGATCAACACACATGGCAGATCAACAAACACATGACAGATCAACACACACGACAGATCAACACACACGACAGATCAACACACATGATAGATCAACAAACACATGACAGATCAACACACATGACAGATCAACACACATGACAGATCAACACACATGACAGATCAGCACACATGACAGATCAACACACATGACAGATCAACAAACACATGACAGATCAACAAACACATGACAGATCAACATGACAGATCAACACACATGACTGACAGAACATGACAGATCAACACACATGACTGACAGAACATGACAGATCAACATGACTGACACAACATGACAGATCAACATGACTGACACAACATGACAGATCAACATGACTGACACAACATGACAGATCAACATGACTGACACAACATGACAGATCAACATGACAGATCAACATGACTGACACAACATGACAGATCAACATGACTGACACAACATGACAGATCAACATGACAGATGAACATGACAGATCAACATGACAGATGAACATGACAGATCAACATGACAGATCAACATGACAGATCAACATGACAGATCAACATGACAGATCAACATGACAGATCAACATGACAGATCAACATGACAGATCACTAATGTCACCTTCCTCTCGCCAGGCTGGTGACGATGGCCTTTCTCCGTGACTTCAACCAACCGTTTACCTGACGGTCGCGGCCACCGGGTGAGTACTCCACCACACCTGGCACACCACCCAGGGAGGGAGAGAGGGAGGGAGAGAGATGGAGGGAGAGGAGGGAGAGGAGAGAGAGAGAGAGGGAGAGGAGGGAGAGGAGAGAGAGGGAGGGAGAGGAGGGAGAGGAGAGAGAGGGAGGGAGAGGAGGGAGAGGAGAGAGAGGGAGGGAGAGGAGAGGGAGAGGAGAGAGAGGGAGGGAGAGGAGGGAGAGGAGAGAGAGGGGGGGAGAGGAGGGAGAGGAGAGAGAGGGAGGGAGAGGAGAGAGAGGGAGGGAGAGGAGAGGAGAGGAGAGGGAGAGGAGAGAGAGGAACAAGGAAAGCACACTAACGTGGTATGTCAGTGCGAAAATATATTGGAGAAAAATCGGAAGAAGGGAAGAATAGAATAAGGGAGGTAGATAATGTATAAGGGTGAAGAGGTAGATAATGTATAAGGGTGAAGAGGTAGACAATGTATAAGGGTGAAGAGGTAGACAATGTATAAGGGTGAAGAGGTGTTGGGATGACTGTTGATGGGTCACGATGACTCTTGATGGGTTGGGATGACTGTTGATGGGTCACTATGACTCTTGATGGGTTGGGATGACTGTTGAAGACTGGTGATGAGCTGTGAAAGCATTATCAGTTACATTAATGACAGACATGCTCCCACTGGTATTATTAATGCTCTATGCCAGAACTTGTTAAGAATACCACCTGGAGAGTATTCATGACCTCTTGTTCCACCTTTCATCCAGTTTTCTTCTCGGTGATAATTGGGTATGAAATGGTTGCCCCCACTCAAGGGGTCTTGTCATCCACCCACCTGGTCTTGTCACCCACATACCTGGTCGTGTCACCCACCCACCCGGTCTTGTCACCCACCAGCTTCCCCCGTCACCAAGCACTGCCAAAGACTACGAGGGGGGGGGGAGGGATGGGGCGTACTGGGGGAGATCTGAAGGCTCCGACAATTTAGGAATTCCATAAATATTCCCTGGAAAATGGCTGACTTTTTAAACCATGAAAGTGGATTGCTCTAAATAAAAAAAAAATATTATAATTTTTAGATTTTTGGTCGACATTTTTAGTGGAGTGTCATGGGTTCATGTTCAAAATTTCCCTGTACTTTTATATTTAATTGCTAACGTTAATTTCGTGATATATATATATTTTTTAAAGATGATCTCTGTTAAGTTTTAGTATATGTATTTACTCTTTTAGCAGGATCGAATTGTTAGCTCTTGGACCCCGCCTTTTGTAACTGTCGGTTGTCTAATGTATTGACTAATGTACGTGTGTGTGTGTGTGTGTGTGTGTGTGTGTGTGTGTGTGTGTGTGTGTGTGTGTGTGTGTGTGTGTGTGTGTGTGTGTGTGTGTGTGTGTGTGTGTGTGTGTACTCACCTAATTGTACTCACCTAATTGTGCTTGCGGGGGTTGAGCTTTGGCTCTTTGGTCCCGCTTTTCAACCGTCAATCAACTGGTGTACAGATTCCTGAGCCTATTGGGCTCTATCATATCTACATTTGAAACTGTGTAACAGTTTGTGTGTGTGTGTGTGTACCCACCTATTTGTGCCTCCTGGATGGAGCTCTAGCTTTTGGACCCTGCCTTCTAGCCTCTGGTTGTCTAATGCAATGATTCCTGACATATTTCCCTTTTGTACCTGTATTTAAGTTATGGATTGAGTTTGTGTCTACAACCTGCTCCTTAAGTCGTTCCATTTACTCACTACCGTTACTATAAAAGAAAACTTTCTAATATTTCTATGATACATCTGAGTCTCAAGCTTCCATCCGTGGCCCCATTGTTCTATTGGTTTTCAGTGTAAACATTTCCTGTTTCCACCGTGTCAATCCTTCTATGGGATGGGAATTATCAGGGGAAAGGCCTAAGCCATTACAACTATATATAGCTCAATCCCACTAAGTATTTCATACGTGTGTATCATGTCCATCCTCTCCCTCCTCGTTTCTAACGTCGTCAGGTTTAGTTCCTTCAGTCTCTCTTCGTAGCTCATTCCTCGATGCTCTTGGACCCCGCCTTTCTAACCAATTTATTTTTCCTCTATTACTACATATATTTCTCTCTAACACACACACACACACAAACATCCCCAGGATGCAGCCCGTAGCTGCTGTCTAACTCCCAGGTTTCTATTTACTGCTAGGTGAACAGGGTCAAAAACTCTGCCCATTTGTTTGCGCCTCGGCCGGGAATCGAACCCGGGCCCTTAGGACTACGACCCACGAGCACTGTCTACTCAACCGTGAGGCCCCTTGTGAGTGTGTGTGTGTGTGTGTGTGTGTGTGTGTGTGTGTGTGTGTGTGTGTGTGTGTGTGTATGTGTGTGTGTATGTATTTACCATTTGTGCCTTCAGGATCGAGTTGTTAGCTCTTGGACCCCACCTTTCAAACCATCGGTTCTCTAATACACTGACTCCCGAATTATTTTTCTTCTATCTTATCTGTATATTTATCACACACACACACACACACACACCCACACACCCACACACAGGGGGCCTGAACGCTGGCCAAACAACGCAGGAGCCACAATACCCTGAGCAGGTTATTAGACATAAAAAAAACTCATAAAAATTTGAAATGTCTTTAAAATCCCACGAGACTTACGTCACTACACGCTGATATGAAGACTTCCAAAGTTATAATTTGAGGAATTCGCTTAATATTTTTGTTCATGTGTAATGGGAAATTTTGACATTTTTCTCGAAATATATTTTTCTTCAAAATCACACCAGTTGTGTTACTTCAGAGAGTAATGCAACTGGTGGTAATCAGGGGGCCAGAATTATATTTTTGGGGGAAAAAAAGAAATGTATTAAGATGGTTTTTCTTTTTGTCAGTTATTACATGATTTCTGGTGGGATTTTTCTCCAAATGTAACTTCGTTTTAATCACACAAAATGTACTTTTGCACATTGTGCTGAACTACGAAGGGCCTAAAAGATGGTTTTAATTTATGTGTGAATATACTTTTTCATGCCAGGGACAATTTTTTAAAAGATATTTAATTTATTTATAATATTCTTAAAGATATCACTATAGATAGGTTTTGTATATGATGATTTGTGTGATTGGTCTAAAATATATAATTTGGTGCAAAAAGGTAGAAAATTAAACCCTATTTTTTTCTTTTTATGCTAGATAATTTTTTTATTTTTAACTTAAATTAATTTTCTTTCATAATCTTAACAGAGGTAGTTTTTGCATTCTTATTTACTATCAATGATCGAAAATATATAATTTAGTTAATTTGGGTTATAATTATTTTTGAGAATGAATTATTTTTTTATATTATTGGTAATTTCATGAAAATTATTCTTTACTTTGTATGTGATGTACTTTTATACATAGTGATAAAGAATGATTGTTTAAAATATATAACTTGGTAATTGGTAAAAATTGATTAATTATTGATTAAAATTGATTAAAAAGATAATTGCACTGAAATTGATTTTTTATGCCATGGAAAATTTGGGGAATTTTATACAAATATTAATTTCCTAAAAAATTTTATCGGGTACTTTCTACATATTGATAAAAAAATATCTAGTGAAACGTGTAATTTAAATAAATTTTAATTCATTTTTTAATTTCTATCAATTTTATTTTCTAAATGTTCCACGATCTCTGGCGTACCTAGCAGAGAAAGTTTGTTAGTGACACTGAACTGAACAGTAGAGCGACGGTCTCGCATCTTGCAGGTCTGCGTTCAATACCCGACCGTCCAAGTGGTTGCGCACCATTCTTATCCTCGGCCCTATCCTAAATCCTTATCCTTTTCCAAATGTTATATTGTCGTAATGACTTAGTGTGTTCCATGATAATTACCATTACCCCTTTCCCTCGTTTTTGTATGTGGGTACACCACTCCGTTCACCATAACCTCTGACAGTTTTTTATTTTATATTAGCTGTACCCGGCCACACGTTGCTGTGGCTCAGCAATGCGCATCCCACAGCAACCCTCTCCCTGTCCCCCTGTCCTCCCACCATTCCCCCCTCCCCCTTCCCCTCGTCCTCCCCACTATCCCCCACTCCACTGTCCCCTTGTCCTCAGCATGCCACACTCCCCCGTCCCCTCGTCCTCTCCACCATTACTCCACCCCTTCCCCGTCTTCTCGTCTTCCCCACCATCCCCCACTTCCCTGTTCCCTCTCACCATTCTCCACTCCCCCGTCCCTTCATCCCCCACTCCCCCGATCCCTCGTCCTCCCCACTATTCCCCACTCCCTCGTCCGTTGCGTCCCTAAATGATCTGATGTTCCCATCAGAAAAGTGGGAACATCAAATGTTCTCATTTGATGTTCCCATCACTAAAAAATAAGTAGAACAGTTTACAAAACGAAATGAAAAAATGAAAAAAATAAAAAAATAAACTATACTCACGAAATGAAAAGTATGGTAAACAACACAACTCAATTCCAATGCAATGTCACACAAAATAATTAAATAAAAATAAAAATAAATCGAAATCTATGAAAATTAAATTTATCAATGCAATCGGAAACAATGAAATGTAATCATAACATATTTAGTAAAGAATGTGTTGATATTACGTGCAACAGATGGCGCTGTTTAAAAAAAAATGTTTTTACCTGTCACAGGTCTGGCATCTATATAGTAGGTATATATAAACATGCGCGTATTCGAATGGAACGTTGTGTCAAAATTTCAAAGCAATCGATGAAGAACTTTTGGAGAATACAGCGTGTGTTGCTCTTACGTCCTACAGATGGCGCTGTTTTTTGTTTAAACATGATTTTCCCTGTCACAGGTGAGGCATGTATATAGTAGGTATATAAAAACATGCGTCTATTCGAATGTAATGTTGTGTCAAAATTTTAAATCAATCGGTAAAGAGGTTTCGAGGATTTCCCTCACATGAAAAACACAGTTTTTCAAAAAAAAACATGTTTCTTCCCGTCACAGACGTGACATCTATATAGTATGTATATAAAAACCCGCTCGGATGCGAATGGAACGTTATATCAAAATTTCTAAACAATCAGTGAAGAACTTTCGGAGATTAGCGATTTTGAACAAACGAACATTTCCATTTTAATTTATATAGATTTATTTATATAGAGAAGAGTTCTTACATTCTTGTACAGCCACTAGACGGCGGAACGTTTCGGGCAGGTCCATAATCCTATATTCCCTGGAATACGACCCCACCAAATCGTTTAACAACCAGGTGCCCATTTTACTATTGGGTAAACAGAGGCTACAGTTAAGGATACTCTTTTGTAAGGAAAAGTTGAATAATACTTTACACATCTCCTTGTAGTCTTTTGCAATGATTTATTCTTATTGGGAGCCGGTCGGCCGAGCGGACAGCACGCGGGACTTGCGATCCTGTGGTCCTGGGTTCGATCCCAGGCGCCGGCGAGAAACAATGGGCAGAGTTTCTTTCACCCTATGCCCCTGTTACCTAGCAGTAAAATAGGTACCTGGGTGTTAGTCAGCTGTCACGGGCTGCTTCCCGGGGGGTGGAGGCCTGGTCGAGAACCGGGCCGCGGGGACACTAAAAGCCCCGAAGTCATCTCAAGATAACCTCAAGAAGACTTCCCCAAGTCTGACATTTTGTTCCTCGACATTTACCTTCTTACGTATACGTGAAGAAGTTTGGGTTGGTCTTTTGCCTTGAACACGACGTTATTGTTATATCACTTCTCTTCACAATATTACTTCTCTCTTAAGGTAATTGTGCTTACTGGTAATATATAAAATATTCTAATCTTAACATTATGATTACAATATAATGATAATTTCATAAACAATTTCATTAATACTTGCTCTTAGCTATAATATTGATCTTTCTGGAGTGCCTCTTTATACTGACTGATTCCAGCGCCATCACCACATGACTGATCCCTGGCTCTATATCAGTCACTATATAGAGTGCCTCTATAATAGTGACTCATTCACAGCATGACTGACCCTGGCTCTATATCAGTCACTATATAGAGTGCCTCTATAATAGTGACTGATTCACAGCACGACTGACCCTGGCTCTATATCAATCACTATATAGAGTACCTCTATAATAGTGACTCATTCACAGCATGACTGACCCTGGCTCTATATCAGTCACTATATAGAGTGCCTCTATAATAGTGACTGACACACGGGAGACATCTCCCGTCACTCAGGGTGCAGTCGCACCTCCACAGATCTCCAGTATCATCTAATGATACTGGTAATGGCTCAAAAGCCATTACCAGTATCAATAGATACTGTACCTCAATAGATACTGTACCTGGTTTCAATAGATACTGTACCTGTATCAATAGATACTGTACCTGGTATCAATAGATGCCAGTACCTCACCACTTACGGGCTATTCATGCCCGTGCCACCTTTTGGGTGGCTTAATCTTCATCAATCTAGTGACTGACTCACAGCATGACTGACCGTGGCCACTCGCTTCTTGCAGGATGAGTGTGTGATGGCGGCGGCCCTGGTGCCAGAGGTTAAGGTTATCCCTGAGGATGATGGGGATGAGGATGGCACTACCCCTTATGTGGACCCATCATCCCTAGCTGCCCACAGTGGATTGGGGGCCTCGGGGGGCCGATCCCACGGCCCCCTCCTAGCCCCACCTCCGCGCTTCCAACCCGAAGATGAGGACGATGACCCCGGCTGGCTGGATCTTACCGACGGGGCTGCGTATCTGGAGTGTCCGGACCTCCTGGAGTCCTACACGTCGCTCAGGCCACGTCTCTCATACAGGTAAACTGCTTCCCCGTTGCCTTGTCTATACGTCTAGTTACATTGCATTGTTATTTAGTATATAATATGATATATTATATAATTATATTGAGTGAATTTGTTGTTATTTCTAGTTAATATTTCATATCTAAATTCTAGGAAAGTAGGATAGGTAGGTCAAAGCAAAAACTAGCAGAAATTAATGCTCTCTCTTCTACATAGTTATACCTTAAGTAAAAGTCGTTTTCTTCAATTGTAGCGCGCGTGTCCATTTTCTTTTTTCCGGAAGGTTTGCCCAAGAAAGGATAACTTTAGAAAATATGATATGATAGTTATTTTTATTCAGAAAAATTGTTTTAAAATCATTATAAATGATAGATCAATAATGCCAGTTAGAATTTGCAGCATGGAATCGGTATATGTAACGATAGTGTAATGCGCAGGGAACAAAATAGCCGAAAAGTGCGTTATGTGGATATAATGAAGGTTGGAAATATATGGCATATGCCAGTGGAAGAGATCCTTGTCAGTGTACTCACCTAGTGTACTCAACTAGTTGTGCATGCGGGGGTTGAGCTCTGGCTCATTGGTCCCGCCTCTCAACTATCAATCAACAGAATATGATTCTGTCGCTAATGGCGTGTGTCCTTGCTATTGATGCTAGACCGTCACAAGGTCTGGCACCAATTGTAGGCATCTGCCATTGGCTTGGCTTCATTTAAGGGCATAGGTTAGGTTGTTTAATTAGGCCTATGTGTATTTTGTGGTATGCGGCAATATTTAATATTTTGTTAAGACGCCCATTGTTGAATGCATACATACACCAATTTCTTTATTTATTATGCACCTCATACCCATCCCGTGGGCGGTGGTGGAAAAGGTTACAGAGGTACATAATCGGTTCAAGAACTGAACCCCATAGTTCATTTAGCGTTGTAACGTCATGTGTTTTGTGATCGTACTTGTTAACGTTATATAATTTGTTATCTCTGCTGTATATCTATAATTTGTTATCTCTATTGTGGAGTGGCAATATCTCTGCTGTTTTGGGAGGGATGACACCGGTATCTTGGACACTGGACACCGGTATCTTGGCTCAGTCTCCATTGAGTGTTTTAGGCCTGTTTTTTTCTAATTCTTGGTGAAAGTAGAATTCCAGGAACTTGGGGCGGAGTGTATGCTGTTTATGGCTACTTCAAACTCCAATTGTATTAATGGTTACATCTGATATACGGGTCGAGGTTGGTGTCAGGTTCACTAAGAACTGATTTGTGTTGTCAATCTTCAGTGGTTCACTGAAAATATTTGTTCTCTGATTTATATACAAGGACAAAATAATAATCAGTTATTTCGAGTTTTAATGCAAGTAGCACCAACACACAATATATATATGGCGTTACCAGATAATTACCAATAAGTATCTTCAATACACAGGCTGACCCAACAATAGATGGATGAATATTAACCTGGTTGATACCTGGTTGATGGGGTTCTGGGAGTTCTTCTACTCCCCAAGCCCGGCCCGAGGCCAGGCTTGACTTGTGAGAGTTTGGTCCACCAGGCTGTTGCTTGGAGCGGCCCGCAGGCCCACATACCCACCACAGCCCGGTTGGTCCGGCACTCCTTGGAGGAATACATCTAGTTTCCTCTTGAAGATAACAATATATAAATTGTTACATTACAATTACCTCTAACAATATGTAAATTAAAATAGTCACAACCATTAACATCTGTGGAACTAAGAAACATTAACCCAAATATCTACGTCTTAGACAACCGTCAAGGCACCGAGACCACGATGCCATTAGCGGCAACTTAAGGAACGTGTCGCAGTTTAATATCAGGTTGATCATTAGTGAGGGGCGAGGCCGCGTGTAGCTGAGATAATGAAGGGAGAGCTGCAGGGAGCACCTGGTCGTTATTGTGAACAATAAGACGAGGCATTCAGAGGCTGGAGGTGTGGAGTGTCACTCCTTATCAGCCTGGCGTGTTTGTCTTCAGTTATTGAGAGTTGAAGTACGCAGTTAAACCTGTATCTGGTCACGCTCTTCCTGTCTCTAGTATCTCTCATTGTAATTCTGTCTCTCTATCTTTAAACCTGTTTCTCATTATATTTATGTGTCTGTATCTTTGAATATATATATACCTCTTGTTACCATATTTCTGCCTTTATTTTTCTTTCTGTATATCTATTTCTCTCATTTTTTGTCATGATGTGTTCGCTTGGGCATCTGCAGGTCACTGATCATCACTCATAAGTAGGTAATTAATCATTGTCACTTGACGTCTGTGATTAGTTTTGGCAAATCATCTCCAGTGGCATTACTCACGGGACGTGAGGTCATATTACTCTCACTATTACCGAGTCATTACTCTGTAATACATCGTGTGCGATCATTTTCCGGATCAGTCTGACTGTGACGAGGGTGTGTTACCTCGGGCCTCGCTAGGGTCATCATTCTTGGGAAAGTCATCTTCTGACTTGTCCTTTCATCTCCTTGTTGCTTTCTTGTCTTGTCTTCCTCGTCTTCCTAAATTAACCGTGAGATATAAAGCAGCTGGGGTTGGTTTGTTAGCAGCTGGGGTTAGTTTGTCACCAGCTGTGTTGGTACTTTCAAGTCATTCGAATTCTTGGACCTTCATGAGTTTCTCAGAACAAGTTGGGGTATACACAGCTGGTGATTCCACAGCTGGTGACATGACAGGTGGAGAACCCACAAGCATTAACAACTATTCACAAAGATCACATCTAGCAATACTGTGCAAATGATTAGATAACTACGCATTAATAGCAATATTCGTATTAGACTAAGCTGGACATGCCACTCTCCACCCAGCTTAGCTTATCATAATAAAAACCAGTAATAATGTAACCACAAGAACAATGATGTAACAACGTGCGGAACTTGGTTGGTACTTTGAGAACAAAGTACAAGTGTTAAAGTAGTCCAGTACGTGAATGTGAAGGAATATGTTAACATTAACCCAGGCATTAACCCTTTCAAGAGAGGTGCGGACTTACTCATTGACTCTCGTGAGAGAAATATGTTAATTTAGATATAACTCCTCTTGCCTGTCACTGTTGTTTATCTTGCCTACCTGCTTCCTGCCCTCCTCCTTGCCTACCTGCCCTCCTCCTTGCCTACCTGCCCTCCTCCTTGCCTACCTGCCCTCCTCCTTGCCTACCTGCCCTCCTCCTCTTTGCCTACCTGCCCTCCTCCTTGCCTACCTGCCCTCCTCCTCTTTGCCTTCCTGCTACCTGCCCTCCTACCTGCCCTCCTCCTTGCCTACCTGCCCTCCTCCTTGCCTACCTGCCCTCCTCCTCCTTGCCTTCCTGCTACCTGCCCTCCTCCCCGGCTGAGAATTGTAGTGAACATAAACCTTTCTAGTTACTCGAAAATAGTTTTGATGGTAAATCACAGGAGTCGGTAAAAAGATCATCGTGTCTAGAAACTAATGAATAAATATCATAACTACAACAGCAGTGACTTGAGTTGCTGTAGCATCAGAACTGTTTGGCGTAAGTCACTGCGTATCCCCAAAAGCAATGTTTCTACCAACATTTTCTCCCTTGTGTAGAATCTGTCTGGGTTAATGGTTCCTCGGGCTGCTGGCCTTTGCCTCTATCTCCTTGGCTAGGTCGACCTTTGTCCCCCCCCCCCCCACTGGTTCTCTCCACCCCTAAGAGAGATAAATTAGTGGTAGTGTGCGTAGGTTTCTTATCAACGAGACACACGCAGCCAGAGTCATCCCAGTAAATTATTCGCCGGTATTGTTAGCAAGATAACTCACCCGGGGGACATGGGTGGGAACTGTGTACCGCCGGGCCGTAACCACCCACACAGTGCTCCTTCACCGTTGTCACAGTCAGCACACCCTCTCGCCGCTCCAGCTGGTCACTTCACAAATGTGCAACCCGTTCTCGCACTTTCTTATAGTCAATATTTACTTATTAAATACGTGCATATGTGACATACTAATTTATTGTGAATATTTTAGTTTACCTTGAAAATTGACTATAAGAAAGTGCGAGAACGGGTTGCAAATGTGACATATCTGTCCTCGGTATAATGTGTCATTGTAAATTAGGATATTGGTGGACATTTTGTGCCGATGAGTTGAGGGTCCGAGCATTGTAGCATTATTTAGAAGCATTGACAATGACTCGAATGAGTCGTGATTAACCTTTGGAGGTCTGTTGAGTATTAAGAAATAGTAACCAAAGAGAGCGGGAACAACTGCTCTATACGTACTACCAACCACAAGGGCCACAGCCACGAGGGCCACAGCCACGGGCCATAACCACAAGGGCCACAGCCACGAGGGCCACAGCCACAGGGGCCATAACCACAAGGGCCACAACCACGAGGGCCACAACCACAAGGGCCACAACCACAAGGGCCACAACCACAAGGACCACAGCCACAAGGGCCACAACCACAAGGACCACAGCCACAAGGGCCACAACCACAAGGGCCACAACCACAAGGGCCACAACCACAAGGACCACAGCCACAAGGGCCACAACCACAAGGACCTCAGCCACAAGGGCCACAACCACAAGGACCACAGCCACAAGGGCCACAACCACAAGGGCCACAACCACAAGGACCACAGCCACAAGGGCCACAACCACAAGGGCCACAACCACAAGGGCCACAACCACAAGGACCACAGCCACAAGGGCCACAACCACAAGGACCACAGCCACAAGGGCCAGAACCACAAGGGCCACAGCCACAAGGGCCACAACCACAAGGACCACAACCACAAGGACCACAACCACAAGGACCACAGCCACAAGGACCACAACCACAAGGGCCACAACCACAAGGGCCACAACCACAAGGGCCACAACCACAAGGGCCACAGCCACAAGGACCACAACCACAAGGACCACAGGCACAAGGACCACAACCACAAGGGCCACAACCACGAGGGCCACAACCACAAGGGCCACAACCACAAGGACCACAACCACAAGGACCACAGCCACAAGGACCACAACCACAAGGGCCACA